TGTCAGCGAGGCGCCACGAGCCAGCGCCCAGGAGGATGCAACACTCCTAGTAGAGTGAGCTCGCAACCTGAGCGGGCAGGGCACACCCTGTGCCTGATAAGCCAGGGTGATGGCATCCAGAATCCAGTGGGCCATCCTTTGCTTTGAGACGGCATTCCCTTTCTGCCGGCCTCCGTAACAGACAAAGAGCTGGTCTGAGGTCCTAAAGCTTTGTGTCCGGTCTATGATATAGACTTTAAGGGTGGAGGGAGACAGCCTTCTCTCCAACCCTTGCTGCTAAAAGGGGGTCCGGGGGTCTTCCCGACGAGAAGAATGCCACTCGACAAACAGGTTCCACTTCAGGGCGTAAGCGTGTCTCGTAGACGGTGCTCTCGCCGAAGTGATGGTGTCAACTACCTCTTGGGGTAGGTCACCAAGAACCTCCGCTTCCCGTCCAGGGACCAGACATGAAGTTCCAGGTCCGAGTGGGCCAATACGGCGCCACAAGCAGGACCTGCTCCTCGTCCTCCCTGACCTTGCACAGCATCTGTGCGAGAAGGCTCACTGGGGGAAACACATACTTGTGCAGGCCCCGCAGCCAACTGTGTGTCAGTGCGTCCGTGCCGAGTGTTCCCTCGGTCAGGGAATAGAACAACTGGCAGTGAGAGGTTTCTGGAGAGGCAAACAGGTATACCGGAGCGGCTTCGAAACGTCTCCAAAACAGCTGGACCTTCTGGGGATGGAGTCTCCATTCTACCGGAAGCGTATGGTTGAGCAGACCCGGAATGTGAATGGCATGAAGTGACCTCAGAACCTTCCGAGGTGGCGGGTGAGTTGCGACATGCGATGGGAGCGTAGACCACTTGCACGTGCTTGCCTCGTAAACACCCTTTGGAAAGTACGCATCCTTCAGGTCGATTGCTGCAAACCAATCTCGAGGATGGATGCACCCGAAGATGCATTTCTGCGTCAAAATCTTAAACGGTAACCTGCAAAGGGCCCGGTTCAAGACACGCAGATCCAAGATTGGTCGTAACCCACCGGGTTTCTCGGGTACAATGAAGTAAGGGCTGTAAAACCCTGTATTCAT